AAAGTGCAATGCAAGACTGCTAAATCACCAAAGAGTCCAAATCCGGCAAATTGTTTTGGAAAATCAATTTTTAATAAAGAAGTGCCAAACATGGACTGTTTTGCCAGCTACAGAGTCGCCACTTAAATATTTTATTTTGGAAAAATTTAGGAAACCCTGACTCGTGCCTAAGGCCACGTGTCCGTCATCACCAAAGTTGCCTCGGCTCGAGAACTTGGGTACGAGAGGGGAAGGTCATGCAATGAGCACCCCCGCTCGCCCGATCAAAAGATCGGCCTTTATTAAACATGATATGTTGTTTTTGAAAACACATGTGTTCTTATTCCTGTTATTAGCTAACCTTTACTACATAATGCGCACAGCAAACAAGTATAGACTCAATCACGCGGATTGGAACAAAACAACTCATGTTTATTTTTCAAAAATGGTTTGAAGTTGCTACTCGTAAGTAAGCTAAGACGCGGATTTGCCACCCTCAAGTGGGCTTAGGAAAACATGATTTTGCCACTTCAAGTGGGCTTAAAACTCACAATCATCAAGTTGTCCCAATCCAGGCGATCAAGCCTTCACCCACAGGCATTCAAACAGTTAATCACTTAAGCAGTTAGCCTCATGGCATGCTATCATGGCAACACTTACGCGTATGCAAGGATGCTAAAGCATAAACACTTACAGTGTACTCCGAGCCAAAAAAGAAGCTAGTTAGTAATCAATGCATGATCCTAGCTATGTTAACAATGTCTAATACAACACATGCAAAATGCAACTAAGATAGGCTCGGTTATTCTAAGATGTCATGTGAAATGCAACAATCGATACATGTATTCAAATTGGAATTGAAATACAATGCAGTTTGTATGATGTGCCGAGCCCGATGCATGCAAGATAGATGAATGAATGCAAACATGCTAGCATAAGGATACTAATTGAAATATTTCCTAAAACTAACCATTAAAAGCTGGTAAATAAAAGAGAGAAAGAAATGAGGGTTGGAAGACATGCATCACACACACGCACACTTATTACAACAGTTGTGCCCTCTTGACGGAGGGTCCGAATAATAATCTAACTAGCTAATCTAAGATAATTGAACTAATTATTACACAACACAAATTGAATTTGAATCAACTAGCTAATCTAAGCTAATTAGGTACAAACCAAATTAAAACTAGCTATACTAAGCTAATTATAATATTACAAAGATGGAACCAATTAGCAAATACATTAACTAACTAATTAGCAAATTAACTAACTACACAAAGCAGTTAAAACAGCCTCGAGGAGAGGGGCATATGCATGCTCGGTCGACTTCGCTCCGGAATCCACTACCGTGCCTCGTGATGCCTCTGTTTGCACACTTCTGTATCTCTGAAAATTGTGCCAACCTCTATAGTGCTTCTGGCCCACCTTAGGAACAATCTTAGAGGTGGCCGGCCAAGAGGAATAGCCATCGGCTAAATATATTTATCATCGGCCAATTTTTATGGCTATCGGCCAGTTTTGATAGTCGATCGGCAGCCTTGATAGCCGATCGGCCACTTCTTCTTGCAAACTTCTCTTTTTGCTGCAATAGAGCACTAACAGAGGCATGGCAGTGTATTTGCAAGAAAATGTGTGTGCAACCACACTCCTTATCATGTTTAAAGCTCAAGGGAGTGTAGTGCTTGACTCTCGAGCCATCAATCACGTATCTCAATGCATGATGGCCAAAGAGGCCAATTTTCACAAATCAATGTCAAATGAATGCACAAAAACACATAAATGCCTTAACCTCTATCATGCATGATTAAGAGGGTCGGCAACTAAGAAATGAGGCATGTTTCATCACTTCAAGTATGAAACGTCCTTCGTTTCCCGTGTTTGGACTAACACCCTATCCAAACACAATGCAACACAGGTATGCCAAATACAATGCAATGCTTGCAAGCGAACAACAATGCAAACAACAAGCATGCAAACAACATGCAATGCAACATGAGCAATTTATCAAAGCTAATGGCATGCAAACTCTATTGAATGCAACCTAAGTATGCAAGCAACAATGCAAACAAGAAGCATGCAAACAACATGTAATGCAAACAACATGCAAGATGGACTTAAACCGGATATGGATAGACCTCAATCATGTCCAAAACAGTGGCCAATAATGCTGAAATGATGGCATGAAAACACATGAAAAGGCTAGACAAGCATACATGCCAATTGGCTCAAGAATTAAGGCATAAAGATGCAACTCTTAAGAGCAATCAAAGAGTGAAAAGCATGGACGTGTGACAACACTATAAGCTCTAAAATCATGTAAGGAATGATGCCAAATCACTCAAACAATACAAGTATGGCATGCAAGAAGGCTCAAAGCTTGAAGGTAGCATAGACACTTGCACTATAACTATACAAAACACGAAGCATATGGCCAAGACAACCCAACACAGTCCTAGAACATGCCAAAATGATGCTAAAACATGCATGGATCAAAGCTAAAACATGCTAGCATGAAGGGCATGAAGCATGGAGTATGTAATGCCAAAATGGAGGATTACACTACACCTACCAAGACCAGGCATGAGATGGCTTCGCCAACAAAAATCAGAGTTATATCATGGCAAAATAACCCCAAAAACACACTGAAATGATAGCTCACAAACTTAGGCATGAAGGCATACACAATGGCTCATGTTTAAGGCATAAAGCACAAACTTTCCAAAGCATTGAAAGAGTGACAGATGCGAGTGTATGACCACACTACGTGCACTGAAATCACATATGAAATGATGTCAAATCATGAAAATAGCCTAAGCAATGCATGCTAGTGGCTTAGAAACTCAAGGCTAATGAGCTAGAATGAACCATAGCTATACAAAGCAATGCATGCATGACCAAAACAACACAAATCAGACCTTAAGCATGCTAAAACATGACCAAAAGCTTGCTGAAGTTAAGCCAAAATCTGCCATATTTCTGACTTCGGCACACCTCACTCTGACATCCTCATTCTTGGCCCCATTTCAGTAAGTTCACAATTTCTCTCTTTAATTTTAGTCTTCCACTGTTCTCTTAATGTGTTTTTTTTTTCCGAATCTGCCACATTTCTATATTGTATCTGTTGCCATTGAATCTGTATTCGTAGCTATACTCTGTTTTTCTTCATTCACTCCCTAATTTTGATTGCCATTTTCCATATTGCAAATCAACCTTTGTTCTTGAATCTATTTTGTGCTTCGAGGTTTTATCATTGTGTTTCTAGAATGTCAATTTGTTTTTCTTGTGATTTTCGTACATTGGCACACATCCACTCAATGTTTATGAATTTGTAATTTTCCACGTTTCTTGAATGTTGCTTTCTTGATTCTGAATCATGTTCTTTTCTATTTTCCTGGCCTGTTTTCCAAATTCTTGTCCTTGCACTTTTGTTTCTGTAGTTTTAGGTTTAGAATTTGCTTTAGAACCCATATCCTTTAGGAAAACTAAGACAAATGTCCCCTTAGATCTTCAAAAATCCTCACCTTAGTGCTTTCTAGGGTTTAGCTGAAGTCTCTGAACCTTACCAAGCCTGTTACCAAAAATTTACTATCGAACCCACTTTAGCCGAGATAATGGGTATGTTTAGGTGCAGAGTAGACACTTCAACCAAACTAAAATACTTCAGGCAAGAGTTCTCTATTCCAATTGACGTTCAAATCAGGTTGGCTGGGGAAAAGGACTATCATGCCTGATGGAGACTCTATACCCTTCCCCGCAGTTGCCTTCATTGAGTGTGGAATTCGATTCCCTTTAGACACTCTTTTCCGAGAAGTCCTCCACTACTACAAACTCAACCCCATGCAACTAGCCATTACCTCATGTAGGGTCATCAACGGTGTAATCAAACTAGCATGCCGAGAAAAAACTAGGATCACACTTGTCGACATCCAATTTTGTTATACCATGTGTGGCCTTAAGTCTGACAAAGGCTACACGTACTACCTCAAGTCCAACTCCATCACCTTCAAACTTATAGCTAACCTCCCAGACTCCAACAAGGGTGCTAGAGATGACTACTCAATCATCTTGGGCAACTGAGAATTTGCGCCTGATGATGATTTTCATCTCTTTCATCTACGCCGAGCAGTGTTTAGAGAGGATGCGGGTAAGAACTGAGTCATTTCATAACTCCATCTCTGTCAAGACTTGTCAATTTATATATCTGTATTAATGTTTGCGTCCTTTCCTTTTGCAGTTCTTCCTCAGCTATCAAAAGATTTCTGCCAAACTTCTTCTCCAGCAAAGACCTAAAAAGATTACCGGGTTTGCCAATTGAGAAGCGTAAAGCCCCACTGCTGCTTAATTACATACCAACATGCCAGAGTCCTTTGCCCGACACTCCCAGAAGCAAGACATCGGTGACTACTCAACCAGTGACTTCTTCGCCGAGGCCAGATCAAGCCTCCTCATCTGACCCAGTGGACCAGCCCTCCACTTCTACTCTAGTTCAACTAATTCCACCATCTTAGCGTCGATGCCAATGCCAACGCCGATCCCGAAGCTGAGCTCCTCCAAACACACTGGTCGGTATGACTTGGAGCCACCAACACTGAGATTCAGAGGCATCGGCCTATGACCCTGTGAACCCACCTATGGCCCTGCTAGCAATCCGTTTCGACACCAAGGTTACTGTCGCTGTAACAACCGACGAGATAGGCCGCAAACTAGCCGTTGTTAAGGACTTTCTTGCTATCATCCTTGGAGTTGTAACTGTTTAGTCCTACTCTTCCCCATCCTAAACCAAGCCAAAGAAAAAAAGGGTGACGAGGGCTAAGGCAAAAGCCTTTGCCATCCAAGTTGATTCTAAGGACACAGTGCCAATCTCGAAGCTAGACGAGATCGAGAAAACTGCCACTGCTGCCGAGAAGAGGCCAGCTGAGGCCGCAACATTCGATGCCCCACCTCCGAAGAAGCCGAGGTCCGATCGCCTAGAGGGTAGCAGCAGTTTCCCCCGCAATCAGACTTAGGCACCCGAGGTCATGTTTGGAGACCGGCCTTTGACAGCTAACGACAGTGCAATTGAGAACGTAGAGGTCGACTTCGCTTTGTCAATGGCCATGCTCCTTCTAGTTGACATGAACCATATGGCCAATCTCCACGAGTACGAGAACTTCAACCTTATGATGCAACATTTCGTCTTGGTAAGTTTCCTACTTCATATTTTAAAGTTTTCTAACACTTAGCCAAATTTTACTAATCTGTTTCATTCCTTGTAGGCCATCCAACATGCCTATTCCTATGTGGTCAAGACCGAGATAATGATGAAAGAGTTGGTGAAGAAAACTCAAGAAGCAGCCAACCTCCTCTCTTCTCTTAACTAAGCTGAGGCTAGCAACCGTCATCTGATTGATAAGGCCAAAGTTGCCAAGGCTGCTCAAGACCAAGCTGAGGCTAAAGTCGAAGCTGCTGAGGCTACTACCGAAGCCGCCAAGGCTAATGTTGAGGCTGTCAAGGCCAGGGCAGCGGATTTTGAGGCCAAGCTTAAGAAGGCCATTGAATTAAAGGAGGCCGAGGTTAACACGGCCGATGAAAAGGCTTTTGAAAAAGTTCAAGCCGCTTTTTGCGATCAGTACAAAGAGTAAGTCAATCTAGCTTGGAACCGAGGTTATTAACTCAACTGGACAGCAGTGCTTAACAAGTTGTCTGTCCCAATGGACTCTTTTTTCTGAGATATTAACTAGCTTAGTATGCCCTTCCCTCCCTCTTTGAAGGACTCTGAAGACGAAGCCGAAGAAGAGGAAACCGAGGCCGAGGATGCTAATGAAGAGGAGGAGGTTGCTGTTGGGGCCAAGTCCCTCACTTTAAATGATCAAGTCCTAGACTTGACTCAAGATGAGGAGGACGAGGTCTCCAAGAGTGCCTCTCCCAAGAAGACAACTTCTCAAGCCGAGGTCCAGACTGCCAAGAAGAGCCTTGACGAGACACTTCTCAAGATAGATGCCAAGATTCAGGCTGAGAAGACTGTTAAGAAAACTTCCCAACTGTCTGCCAAGGCTAAAACACCGCCAACTGCCAAAGCAAGACAGTCTATCCAAGATCGTAACACTTAGAATTTTTTTTCTTTACTTTTTCTAATTTTGTTTACTGTAATCTTTTTGCTTTTGTTGGGCCGAAGGGCCTTCGTTTCTAACTGAACAAGCTGCCTCTTGTGCCAGGCCGATGTGCCTTTTGCTTTTATATTTAAACAAGCTTTTTCTTTTGAATGCATGTTTCACTTTTTCTTCCTAAGTGTTGAGTGCTTGTTTCTTTAAGTTTTATCTGTCTTCACTGTCGTGTATGCTTCCATACTTAGAATATTTTTATACTTCTACAACTTTCTTGTGTGATCTCCTCGGACAAGTGTTACCTTGGATCCAACCTTGGTTAGTCACTTCGGACCAACTTACCTCGAAGTTCATACTTTATTGTGATCTCGACCAACGAGCACTTTATAAAAATTCTTTGAATAATATTCAACAAGTATTGTTTTCTTACTTGTGCTTGTTGTCTTTTATCAAGCCTTCACCCTTCCAACCCTTCTAGGTTTGACAACCTAGTTGGTGACCTTGGGTAACAAATACCTTGGGTATAAAGCAGTACTCCTATCTCAGATTAACTCATCTCAGATAGTTCCATCTATAAAAAATATCATAAAATTTCTCAAGTGTTATGCATAACTTCAGCTTAAAATTTCAGAAAATTTCACAAGTGTTAAGCTCATTCTCACTTCCTGCCCCATAATGTGAACTTAAGTACTGCTTATGTTCACATTAAGCATGCATCTCTAATTGTTTCCGAATTCTAATTCAAACAAATCGTTGCCAAGGTTTTCTACTTCGGTGTCTCTGTTAATCCGACTAGATTAAACTTAGTTCAACTCTACCATATGGCAAGTCTAAGTTATTTGTCATGTTTCATTCGAAAACATCACAAACTTAGTTCAATTCTACCATATGGCAAGTCTAAGTTATTCGTTATGTTCACCATGAGAACATCATCATAAGACTTTTTCAGTCCTATCGTACAGGTGTCAACAATAATATATGAAAACAAAATCAAGCTATTGTTTTATTAAAACTTCAGCTAATCACATAAATCTCTAAAAAAAAAAAAAAAAAAAAAAAAAAAAAAAAAAAAAAAAAAAACTAATGATAGAAAAACTTTAAATTGCAAGTGTTCCAAGGTCTTGGCAACTCCTTGCCATCACCGTCTTCTAGCCGATATGCTTCATTGCCGGCAACCGAGATGATTTCTGTAAGGCCCTTCCTAGTTTGGGCTAAGCTTGCCCTCATTGGGATCCTTCTTATTGCCGACAACTTTTCTAAGGACGAGGTCCCCAACCTTAAAATCCCTTGGGTTGACCTTCTTGTTGTAAGCCCTAGCAAACTACTGCTGATATGCCCCCAGTCGAATTATTGCTCTCTCCATTCTTTCTTCTAATAGGTCCAGATCTCAGGCCAGGAATGTCTTGTTAGTCCTATTCTCCACTCCCTGAGTTCTAATTCCAGGGATGCCAACCTCTAATGGGATGACTGCTTTAGTGCTATATGCCACGGCAAAAACGGACTCCCTAGTTGATCTTCTCGGCATAGTCCGACATGTCCACAGCACATTGGATAATTCCTCCACCCACTTGCCCTTGGCTACTTCCAGCCTCCTCTTGATCCCATCCAAGATGGTCTTGTTGGATGCTTCTGCCTGACCATTACTCTAGCAAAAATTAGGAGTGAAGTAATAGCTTTTAATCTTGCATTTTGCACAAAAGCTCTTAATCAGCTTATTGTCAAACTGAGTGTCATTGTATGCTATAATAGCCCTTGGGATCCTGAACCTGGTTGTTATGCTCTTCCAGATGAAGCTCTTCATATCAATATCTCGAATCTTCGCAAGAGGTTCAACCTCTACCCACTTTCTAAAGTAGTTTGTGGCTACTAGCAAGAACTTTCTCTGTCCAGTTGCCTTGGGCAATGGTCCCACCAGGTCCACGCCCCACTAGGCAAACGGCCAAGGATTGGACACTAGGTTCAGATCTGCTACTGGCTGATGTATCAAAGGAGCAATCCTTTAACACTTCTCATACTTCTTGACATAGGCTTCAGCATCTTTTTACATGTATGGCCACCAGTATCCCTAGGAGATGGCTCTATGGGCAAGTGACCTGCCCCCTACATGGCTTCCATAAACTCCTTCATGGATTTCATATAAAAAGTCTTTACCTGAGAGGGATGAACACATCGGAGTAGAGGTCCAGTAAAGGATCTTCTATACAAATGGCTTTCTACTAATAGGCAGAACCTGGCCGACTTTACACTACAACAAAAAAGGCCTTTGGTGACAGACTGATTTTGTCTCCAAACATCAAATTTTCGTCACTAAAGTGATCTGCGACAAACAAAAATTGTCACCACGTTCGTGGCCTATACGTCGTCGCTGAAAGTACCTGGTGACGAAAAACAGTTTTGTCGCCTATTTTTCATTTTTGGCGATGAAATGTTTCGTCTCCAAATGTCGAATTTTTCGTCCTCTAAAACATCAATTTCGTCACCAAAATAATATTTTATTTTAATTGTTTTTGGCGACAAAATATTTCGTCACCAAATATATTTTAGTGACGAAAGTTTTCCTCACAAATGATATGGATTAAGGTGACAAAAAAATTTGTCACTAAAATGAGCAAAAAAGAAAATTATTCAATGACAAAAAACATTTTGTCACCAAATATTTCAATTTAGAGACAAAATATTTAGCAAATGTGACGAAATTATTTGTTTCATACTATATCATTAGTGACAAAATTATTCGTCATGTTTTTTGAAAACTAATAGCGACGTTTTTTATTTCGTCAATAATAAAAATTAAAAAATTTGAAAATGGGGACTACTTTCTTTCGAATTTTTTTCTTTTCGATAACAATTTCCTGCGCATTTCAATAACCTATTCAATAAAATATTTATTACAAATGAATACAAAAATCTGTTTATTTTCATAAACATCATAATCGAATTCCAGCGCTATCCACAAAAATACAATATGAACAGCATGCGGATTATAAACATGTCTCCTAATATCTACAAAAAACGTCTACTAATATCCACAAAAATATAATATCAACCGCATGCGGATTACCAAACACATCTTCTAATATTCAACAAAAAATATGTCTACTAATATCAACAAAAATAAAATATCAAGGGCAGATTACCAAACATGCCCTGTAATACCAACAAAAATATAAAATTTACAACACAACCAAAATACATGTAAGGTAATATGAACAAAAACACAAAATGGGCTACCATTTGCCCTCCAAATTACCAAACATGTCCATATCAAATCTCAAATCTACAAAAAAATGAAACAAAAAAAAAAAAAATGCAAGTTAGACAATTATTATCTTATCCATAAAATATACAATTTAACGTGCATTTTTCGAATTAGTTTTCAAACCGAGAGTCCCGTGCTAGTTCCGTAAGTTTTCACAACTCAGATTGGTCCCTCCTGAGGTGTTTGAGGTGTTCCTCGAGTTGTCTCGTGGCTGTTGCACGATTTTGGCCTCTGATGGCCTATTTTCAAGCTTAAGTGTGAAAAAGTGCATTTTTGACTTAGTTTTCGAACCGGGAGTCCCGTGCTAGTTTCGTAAGTTTCCACAACTCACATTAGTCCCTTCCGAGGTGTTTGAGGCGTTCCCCGGGCCGTCTCGTGGCTGTTGCACGATTTTGGCCTCCGATGGCCTATTTTGAAACTTAAGTGTGAAAAAGTGTATTTTTCGACTTAGTTTTCAAACCGGGAGTCCCGTGCTAGTTCTGTAAGTTTCCACAACTCACATTGATCCCTCCCGAGGTGTTTGACGTGTTCCCCAAGCCGTCTCGTGGTTGTTGCACGATTTTGACCTCCGATGGCCTACTTTTCAAGCTTAAGTGTGAAAAAGTGCATTTTTTGACTTAGTTTCAAACCGGGAGTCTCGTGCTAGTTCCATAAGTTTCCACAACTCACATTGGTCCCTCCCGAGGTGTTTGAGGTGTTACCCGAGCCGTCTCGTGGCTGTTGCACGATTTTGGCCTTCGATAGCCTATTTTCAAGCTTACGTGTGAAACAGTGCATTTTTTGACTTAGTTTTCAAACCAGGAGGCCCGTGCTAGTTCCGTAAGTTTCCACAACTCACATTTGTCCCTCCCGAGGTGTTTGAGGTGTTACCCAGGTTGTCTTATGGCTGTTAAATGATTTTGGCCTCCAATGACCTGTTTTTCAAGCTTAAGTGTGAAAAAGTGCATTTTTGAACTTAGTTTTCAAACTGGGAGTCCTGTGCTAGTTCCGTAAGTTTTCACAACTCACATTGGTCCCTCCCGAGGTGTTTGAGGTGTTTCCCAGACCGTCTCATGGCTGTTGCATGAGTTTGGCCCCCGAAGGCCTATTTTCGAGCTTAAGTATGAAAAAAATACATTTTTGGACTTAGTTTTCAAACCGGGAGTCCCGTGCTAGTTTCGTAAGTTTTCACAACTTATGTTGGTCCCGCCTGATGTGTTTGAGGTGTTTCCCAGGCCGTCTCGTGGCTGTTGCACGATTTTGGCCTCCGATGGCCTATTTTTGAAGCTTAAGTGTGAAAAAGTACATTTTTGGACTTAGTTTTCAAACCGGGAGTCCCGTTCTAGTTCCGTAAGTTTTCACAACTTACTTTGGTCCCTTCTGAGGTGTTTGAGGTGTTCCCCGGGCCTTCTCATGGCTTTTACAAGATTTTGTCCCCCGATAGCCTATTTTTTTTCTCCGACCCCCTGGAGGGAAGAACTAAAGTTCAGGATGGAGAACTAAAACCCTAATCCAACAAAACAAAGGGAACTAATGTTCAGGATGGAGAACTAAAGTTCATCTTTTGGTAAGCAATAATTTAAATTGTACAACTACATAGAATATAAATCAGAAGAATGAGGTAGAAGTTACATGAATACTCAACTTAATCTTCAATGTGAGTAACAATTGAAAGGCAAGTTTGCAATGTAGTGCACTTTCTTTCTTTTTTATAACCAGGCACCCCTCATCGCACCTTTTGTGAGCCCTGGAGTAAAACCCCAGATAT